GGTGTTAGTGCGTAGTGCTCGGCCTGGGTACGTCCTTAGCCGAGGAGGGTACTCGGGAGGGAATCCTGTTCGGCGCGAGTGCACATTTGAGCAATCGGCCGAGCGTGGTGCTCGGCCCGGACGAGTATTAGCTGAGGTCGGACCTGAACAGGTGAGTTCCCCCAAGGGGCTCAGCCCGACGTCGATGCCCCGGGACGAGGTGTGTCTACCCAAGCCCCGGTACCGTCAACTGAGGAGGAAGACCCGATCATAGATGTGGTTGGTGACGGGGATCCACCGAGCTCGGCGGCGGTGTAGAGACCGGTTTGGGCAAAGGGTACTTAGGGTTTTGTTTTTTTTTGTTTTTTTTTTTGTAACCGGGCCATTAGAGCCTTTTTGTAGTTCCGACCAATGGCGTCGGTTTTGATACAATTTTTTATAATGCCGTTTTGATCGGCCACAGTAAAGCGCTTTGCTTGGTATACTATTCTGAGTAGTTATTTTCTTGAGTACTTATAATATGCTTACATGCCTGACCGTAACGTGTGTTAGCGAGTGTGCTCGGTTTTAAAGACGTTCTGTTTCTAACTTGGATAATCTACGTAGACGTGTGAGGGTTCGGCTTTTGCTTTTTATTCTTGAGGTTTGCTTTAATTGAGCGACCGGCTGAACGTGATTCGGCAACGTAGGTGTTAGTGCATAGTGCTCGGCCTTAAAGACGTTCCGTTTCTAACTTGGATAATCTACGTAGACGTGTGAGAGTTCGTCTTTTGTTTTTTATTCTTGAGGTTTGCTTTAATTGAGCGATCGTCCGAGTGTGGTTCGGCAACGTAGGTGTTCCTGCATAGTGCTCGGCCTAAGTACGTCCTTAGCCGAGGAGGGTACTCGGGAGGGAAACTTGTTCGGCGCGAGTGCACATTTGAGCGATCGGCCGAGCGTAGTTCGACGACGTAGGTGTTCCTGCATAGTGCTCGGCCTAAGTACGTCCTTAGCCGAGGAGGGTACTTGGGAGGGAAACCTGTTCGGCGCGAGTGCACGTTTGAGCGATCGGCCGAGCGTAGTTCGACGACGTAGGTGTTCCTGCATAGTGCTCGGCCTAAGTACGTCCTTAGCCGAGGAGGGTACTCGGGAGGGAAACCTGTTCGGCGCGAGTGCACATTTGAGTGATCGGCCGAGCGTAGTTCGGCGACGTAGGTGTTCCTGCATAGTGCTCGGCCTAGGTACGTCCTTAGCCGAGGAGGGTACTCGGGAGGGAATCCTGTTCGGCGCGAGTGCACATTTGAGCAATCGGCCGAGCGTGGTGCTCGGCCCTCTTGAGAAACTAAAATGGAATGTAAATCTAATTTATGTATAAATTAAAAATAAGATTATAAAAAATTAATAGAAAAGAACTTTTACAAAGTAGATCAAGAAATTTGCTTATACTTAAGCTAATTTTAACTTTTGAAGAAATTTATTATATTTCTCTCCTAAAAGTGTTTATAAATAAGTTTATCCAATCAGACTCTAAATTTATTTTTATGTTATAATAACAATACCTGAAGAGGGAAAATTGCCCACATTGATGGGGCTTCAAAATGCTGCCTTATTACAAAATGTACAACTTCTGGAACACATTGATCAGGCGGCAACTCATCGGACTCCATCACATTCTTGAAAAACCGAAGTCTTCTGTCTTCATCTTCTTCCCACCAAGCACGCAAGGTGGAACAGTCATGGCATGATGGGGCACATACCTGCACATTGTCGTAAGTCACCCAATCAAATGGCAATCTTACAAGCCCTCCAAATTGAAAAACTTAACACTAGACTTCAATAGAACTGAACTTAGATTTAGCTTATTATAACAGGACAACCGTAAATATCTAATTACATGTCCTCTGAATCACATAACTATAGGCACCACCCAAAACCAGAAACTTTTCGTTCATTACAAAATAAAATCACAAAATATGCCAACCTGGCTAATTGGTCGGCGCGGGTGTTGTCTTCACGCGGTATGTGCTCGACCGACACCTCCTGAAAGTTCGCCTTCAACTTTTGGTAGGCGTGATAATACCTCATCATCATGTGATCTTTGACCTGAAAGTTACCACCCACTTGCT